CAATAGATTGAGTCTAGTGCATCATGTAAGCAGAGACGAATCAACCCAAATGAAGAAGATTTGGTTATGGCACAAGCGATTAGGACATCCCTCATTTGGTTATCTTAAACTTTTATTCCCTAAACTTTTTCCCCAATTCAAAGAATCTGATTTCCATTGTGAAATTTGTATTTTGGCCAAAAGTCATCGTGTTTCCTATCCATTAAGATTAAATAAAAGTTTTGTGCCATTCATGGTCGTTCATTCTGACGTTTGGGGTCCTGCCAGAATTCTTACCACTTCTGGATTTAGATGGTTTGTGACATTTATAGATGACTGTACTAGAATGACCTGGGTGTTTCCAATGAAGCACAAGAGTGAAGTTCCTACCAAGTTCAATTTTTTTCATCAATATGTTGCAACCCAGTTTGACAAGAAAATTCAGACACTCAGGTCTGATAATGGAGAAGAATATGTCAATCATGCTCTACATAACTATTTGCAAGAGCATGGTATTGTTCATCAAACCACATGTGCCTATACACCTCAACAAAACGGTGTAACAGAGAGGAAGAATCGACATCTCTTAGAAGTGGTTCGTGCATCTTTATATAGTGCCAACATGCGTCATAAGTTTTGGGGAGAGGCACTGTGTTCTGCAACATATCTCATAAATCGAACACCATTCAATACTCTCCAATATCAAACACCATTCCAAACACTTAACCACATTCTCACCATTCCATCTATCCCAAACTTATAACCACGTGTCTTTGGTTGTGTGGCTTATGTACAGGTTTATCCACATCAACGGGGGAAGTTTGATCCATGTGCCATCCAGTGTGTATTCTTGGGTTATTCTGATACAAAAAAGGGATACAAATGTTTTCATCCTCCTACCCAAACTCTATACATCACTGCAGATGTCCAGTTTCAAGAAGGAGAAACATATTTTTCAAAGGGAGACATTGAGTATCCCCTTCAAAATGAGAATAGTTTGTTTGAAGAGGATACCCAAGACATTAGTAACATTAAAATTGTTGCAGAAATTTCAGAAACTGAGATAAATGTTGATAAGTCGGCAGACGACTGTAATCAAACAATACATGCAGAAACAGAATCATCGACTCCAACATCAGACACAGAAGTACATCCAGCAACGTTAAGTCCATATGGCTTGAGATTGCCTTCTTCGATGGTACCACATGATCAATCAGCCCCTAAACACAATCAACAGGTAACTGATCAATCTAATTCTATTGAGATCGTACCTGAGTCAAGGCAAATTGAGTCCATTAATTATCAACTTCCCTCTCGAAAATCTCGAGGGATTCCTAAACAGTTATATGATCCTGATCCTAGAGTCAAGGTTAAATACCCAATTGCTAACCATGTGTCCCTCCATAGGCTATCTACATCATGTGAGGCATTTGTGAATCAATTATCCACTGTATCTATTCCTTGTAGTGTAGAGGATGCTATGAAAGATCCTAGGTGGACTCGTGCAATGAATGAAGAAATGGAGGCACTCCAGAAAAATTCCACTTGGGAGTTAACTAACCTACCCAAGGGGAAGAAATCAGTTGGTTGCAGGTGGATATACAAGGTAAAATTTAATGCAGATGGCACTATTGAGCGATACAAAGCAAGATTAGTGGCAAAAGGCTACACGCGGACATATGGCATTGACTACGGAAAGACTTTTGCCCCTGTAGCTAAGATAAGCACTATTCGTGTACTCTTATCCCTAGCAGCAAACCTTGATTGGCCTTTGCAACAATTCGATGTCAAAAATGCTTTCCTGCATAGAGATTTAGAAGAAGAAGTTTATATGGAGCTTCCCTCAGGATGCAAGCTGGATCCTAATCAAACCAACAACGTTTGTAAACTAAAAAAGTCGTTGTATGGTTTAAAGCAATCACCGAGAGCTTGGTTTGGGAGATTTACCAAATCGATGAAATTTTTCAGATACAAGCAAAGCAACTCAGATCATACTCTTTTCTTAAAGCATAAGAAAGGTAAAATCACTGCTCTTATTGTATACGTGGATGACATGGTGATTACAGGAAATGATCCAGAAGAGAAGGCAACACTACAAAAGTATCTAGCAAGTGAATTTGAGATGAAAAATCTCGATGCTTTAAAGTATTTCTTGGGCATTGAGGTGGCCCGCTCACAACAAGGAATATTTCTATCACAACGGAAATATGTTCTTGATATTTTGACGGAAATTAGGATGCTAGCATGCAAACCAGCAGATACCCCAATTGAGCTGAATCACAAACTTGGTGAATATCCTGATCAGATACCTATCAACAAAGAGAGATATCAACGAATTGTTGGTAAGCTAATATATCTTGCACATACTAGACCAGATATAAGATATGCAGTCAGCATGGTAAGCCAGTTTATGCATTTACCAAGTGAAACACACATGGATGCTGTAAACCGTATCTTGAGGTATTTAAAGTTAGCTCCTGGGAAATGATTAATGTTTTCAAAACATGATCATCTTGAGGTTAAGGGCTACACTGATGCTGATTGGGCTGGTGATGTAACTAACAAACGATCAACATCAGGATACTTTGTTATTGTTGGAGGAAATCTAGTCTCTTGGCGTAATAAGAAACAAAAGGTTGTTGCTAGATCAAGTGCTGAAGCAGAATATCGAAGCATGGCACATGAGTATGTGAACTGCTTTGGGTGAAGAATTTACTGAGAGATTTGGGATTTAGGCCCAAGCATGCTATGCGTCTACATTGTGACAATAAGGCTGCAATTGACATTGCTCACAATCTGGTTCAACATGATCGAACCAGACATGTGGAGGTGGATAGACATTTTATTAAAGAAAAAAATTAAGGCAAGACTTATTGAAGTTCCATTCGTTAAATCTGAAGATCAATTAGCAGACATACTCACAAAAGCAGTCACAAGTTCAGTATTTCACAACTCACAAAGCAAGTTGGACATTCATGACATCTACGCACCAACTTGAGGGGGAGTGTCAACAATAGTTGGTAGACATTATTGGTATAGACAATAGACTTGTAATTATTCCTCTAGCTAGCCATCATTACTTTACTTTATAGCTATCCATCATTACTTTGCTTTATAGCTAGTCATCATTACTTTGCTTTGCTTTCCTTTTCTCCGTATTTTCCTTTTCGATGTTTTCCTCATGTAATCATCATTTGGCTTGTCCACTTGTTAGGACTAGTTTTTGGCCCTCTATAAGAGAGGACTTCCATCTTGTAAACAAATAATAATGGAGTATATTTCAATTTCTGAGAAGAATGACCCCGGTGCAAAAATTCAACTAGGTATAATGAAGCTCTTAAAGAAAACAGATGGTTCTGCCAATAGTGAATCAACTTCGAAGAGTGTACCGGATTCTAATGCTTTTCAAATTACTGAAGAAAAGGAAACCTCTTTCTGAAAAATCTGGTAAGGAGTCAAAGGAAGGTGAAGAGCTAGTTGTAGGCTCTGTTGGCGATGACGGTTCTCTAAACGATGCTTCCACTCTGGCATTTTATTCCATTTCAAAACAGATTTTCAATTTGACCTTGCAAAGGCATCTGATAATATTGTTGAGAAAAGTTATAGAATTTAGGAATAAGCTTGGAAATTCTAGACTTGTTTTTGTGGACTTGAGTCATTAATCGAAGATTTTGTCTTTGGTAAGGGCTAAAGCTTCAGAGAAAAGCATTGATTCCAACAAGTTCTTCACATTTGTGCGAGATATCACCTGGCTTCATTCATTTAGAAGGAGGTTTACACTGCAATAATAGCTAATGCTACCAATTGGTAAGCATTTAGAAACACTACGCAATTTACATGTAAATATTTTATTGCGGTGCTAGTTCACAATATGAAATTACAAATCTGTAAGATATTGGCATTTGCATCCGATCTTTTTGAAAGAATTATGTTTACCCAGGATTCCAATGAAAAGAATAACTTGACATACTGTTGTTTTTTCAGGTTTAACGATGGAGGCTTTGTTGCATGCATTTTGCTTATTCTCTGAGCGTCAGAGATTCCAAACCAGAAATTTGCAGTGCATTACTCAGGTTTATGATTAGATCAACTCTAATTCACTTTGAAGTAGTCTAGGCATATCTGCAAGCTACATGTTACTCCTACTTTAGTCTGCTGTGTGGAGAATTTATTGGGTTGACTGAACACGCCCAATTCAATTCCTATTAAGTGTTAATCCTATCTTTTAGTAGTTAAGTGTTAATATGGAAGACCTAATCATTGCGATCAATACTTCGCATTTGTCAACTAAAAGTCTTAAACGATAGAAGTTTTTGTCCTATAATTGAAGTTGAGGTTCCTCCTAAAACCAGTTGAAATTGGGCGAGTGACTCAACTTTTGTAAAAGCAGATGAGTATTTCATTGTGCTCTGACATGAAAGGGAGAATACTGATTGAACCGTGGTTTGCTGATTTTGTATAAGCGGTTGAGTTTTTCATTTCTTGTTCTTACCTGAGAGGGTTGGCTTTTGTCTTTTGGTACGATCTCAGACATAAAAGTTGGTGAGGAAATTCTGAAACATAAATCATTAGGCGTTGTAGTACTGGATATGATGAGTTCAAAATTGAATGGCAAGATGTTAAAACATATCGCAATTCAGAAGTCAAGATTTTCTTTGTAGTACACTTTTGGGTGGAGTTGGTCTGGACATCGTACTACACAATTCGAACAAATAATACATTACATAAAGTACACTCTTGGGTTTATCAGATTACGCTAACTTCAAGAACCTCGATGGTAAGAGGAAGTTTATTGAAAACAAAGCATAAAGATAACACAATAAACTATTACAAATATAACTAGAACATACACAACTTTAAAAGGTAAAACCAAAAAGCAAACGTCTTATTTGTTGGATCTCAAGTTCCCCATGCATAGCTTGAGGTCCAGCTGCATTGGTCTCCATGATAATTAATTTATGCGTCCGAACCTTTGATTTATGTGGACATGTCTTCGGTGAGGACCAATTCTATCTTCAAGCTGAGGGAATATCTTAACAAGGATTTTTATACATTGTTTTGTAATACCATTTACTCCATCTCTTGCACAGCACAAGTGACCCGACCGCAACTCCAAAGCCAACAATAAATCCAACTTCAGCACCAATCAGATCCCAATCAATTCCGTGCGCAGAAGTAGAATGTTTGCCTTCGAATGTTGGTGGCAACCTTGCTGATCCGTCATCTAACGGTGGCCCATATAATCCCTTATTGCCTGCGAAAGAATCTGCTGAAAAAGACTGAATTTGAGTGCCGGTTGGAATCTTCCCGACAAGTTGATTGCTCGACAGATTTAGGAATGAGAGGAAATTAAGTTTGGAAAGTTGTGATGGAATTGTTCCTCTCAATTTGTTGTCCGAAAGGTCTAAGGACTCAAGTTGTCGTAGATTACCTAATGATGATGGGATTGCGCATGTGAGAGCATTACTGGACAAGTTCAGGGCATAGAGTGATACCAGCTTCCCCACTTCCTCAGGTATTGATCCATTAAAATTGTTGCAGGAGATGTCAATTGAGGTGAAGCCTGTTAAGATCTTTACCAATTCTCTTTCTCCACCTTTGACGGTAACTGCTACAGTATCCAGATAGTATGCCGCGTCGTGGTCTAGAAGATTTCCGAGGTAATTAATATTTGACACGGCACCATCTTCGTCAGCCATCATTGCTTGCCACGTTTTCAATAAACTTCCTGGGATTTCGCCAGTAAAATTGTTGCGAGCTAAGTCAATAATTTGAAGCTTTGGTCAGGCACTATTGGTCTTGAGGCATTCAATGCGATCATAAAATTTGTTGACACGCAACACAAGTACACGCAAGCTGGATATGTTCTTCAATAAGCATGGAAAGACATCTGTTATTTGATTGTTTCCCAGGTTTAACGCCTCTAACATTGTGCAGTTGGCTAGAGATTTTGGGAACTGACCACCAATCACATTGCCATTGAGGTCCAGTGTTTGTAGACTACAGTGCTCAGGAAAATTATCAGGAAGAGTGCCAAAAAGTTTGTTTCTCCTTAAATTAAGTACTGCAAGGGACATGTTCCCTGCAGTTAAGCACTGGAGAATCATGCCACTTAAGGAATTATTGGACAGATCAGGAACTAGAAGAACTGTCACGTTGCATACTGATTCTGGAATGATCCCGTGGATGTGATTACTTGCAAGAGAGAAGAACACTGTCCAATCAAGGAAATCACCAATGTCTGCCGGTATGCTTGAGCTGAAATTATTTCTTGAGTAATCCAGATAATAGGCAGATGGTGGAAGCATTGGAATTGGTCCCTGAATCTGGTTGGAATGAAGGTCAAGCACAGACAAATGAGAAGTAAGATTGAGGAAAGGACCTGGTAGATTTACCAGAGAGTTGCAAGAAAGATTTAATTCACCAAGATTACTAAGCCTCCAAATCCAGTTGGGTATTTCATGGATCTAGTTTAGAGATAGGTCCAAAGTGCTTAATATTGATTGATTTCTCAAGAAATCAGGAAAGGTTCTCAACTTTCCAGCAGCTAATTTCAATGTGAAAAGTTGAGGAAATGACCCACTGAAGTTGTTGAGACTGTCATAATTAATTAGCAAGCTATTGTATGAAAGATCAAGTCTTTCGAGATTTTTCAGTTGTTGAATATCATTAAGCGGAAAGGCAGACAAGAGTGAAAGAACAGTACCGGTTATTATTTCCTATAAATGTCGACATTCATCCTCCATGGCAAGGCAAACATACATAACCTTTTTCTTCTCAGAGAATGCCTTTCCAACAAACCCTCTCGAGTCACTCAGTGTTCCTTATTCCTTGGGGTACCTCTGCATACAACCCATCCAAAGAAAAAGTATTTCATATCATGAAGGTTGAAAGCAATAGTATCTCATATCATGCTTTCTCCCTGTCATTCTCCTTGTCTTTGTTTTACGACAAGGAGAAAGAGAGCAATCAGCCAGCACTTGGTATCAATCTTCCGATCTGGAGCCAACTGCCTGGAACCCCTTCCTGATTGCTTACCTAGCCTTGCTCTCGAGTACTCATCTTCATCATCTTATGCTTCCTCTTCGTCTACCACATCTGCCTGGGGAACAGATAAGGGAAGTGAAAATGATACCTCGAAGCATGTGGAGACAATTTACCAATTCATCCTCAGCTAGAGACAAGGAGAAAGAAAGCAAGAGGTGGGCACTTGGAAAGATTGAAGAAAGAAACAGACCAACACAGCTACCTTGTGCCTGCCCGTGGTGCAGAAGAAACAAGCAGAGAAGAATGCAGACTGCACAATCAAATCAACCCAGCAAAAGGAGTCTGATTTGAAACCAAGGAACTCTCTACCACAACTTCTGCAAAGTTTCTTAATCCCACGGGTTACTCACACATTTGTTCTCCTCGCCTACACAAATTGGTGTGTTCTTTCCTTTTCTTTATGTGTCTTTATTTCATTTTATATTTCTTTCCTTCCATTTTTATGTCTTATTGTTCAAAATTCCTTTCATTATCATTGGGGACAATGCTATAATTAAGTTTATGGGTGGAAATATATTTCGTTAGTTTACTTCTTGTTAAAAAATAAAAAATAAAAAAAAATTATTAAATTAAAAAATAATAATAATAATTAAAAAAAAAAGTTTTTGCATTTTTATTGTTGTTTGTAGCTACTTCTCAATTCAATGATGAGATTTGATTTTAATTTCCTTCTTACTTTCAAGAAGTCTAAGTTCTTTTCGTTGTCTTTGTGTTAACTGTGATTTCCAGAAATCAACTTGAAAAATAAATGTGCCTAGTCTTGTCAATGTGAAACTTGAGCATGATTTAGCGTTTCATATGTGAATCATGTGAGATTATGTAAACCTTGTGAGTTTTTGAGCCTATACATGATTGAACCATTATGCATCAATCTCATTCCTTCTTGTGCGTATGATCTCACTGTACATGTATCTCTAGAACTTGCTTTATACTACTCGATTCATTAATCAATTCATGTAATAACTTGGAAGTGATATAGGTCATCTTTGGATCGTTTGAGCCTTTCATGCCTACCTTATATGCTATGTTTATCCGTAGTAGCCCATTGAGCCTTTAACTAAGCCATTTCTTTGTTAGCCACATCTCTTTACCTTGCTCCAATATTGGAGTTGAGCCCATACACAAAAATCGATTCCTTATTGTTTTGATAAAGTATTACATGGGTTGTGCTTTTGGGGGTTTCATTTATGTAGAAAGATGGATGGAGCATGTGTATTACAATGAAATGTGAATTTGATGGGTGATGTAGCTTTTGCAGATTTGTTTCTTTCAATTGAAAAAAAAAAAACGAAATATATGAAAATTGGAGAGTGTTGATTTGTTGAAAATGTGTCTGCAGAGTATAAATTTCTTTTTGAAGTTGAATTTGGGGAGTAACTGGTGCTTGAGGTTTTATTATTTTGCTTTCAATTTGAGGTGGTGTGATATTGAGGTGTTGGAAAACTATCAAAGTGTACTTTCTCAAAATTTTTGATTTCCATATCCTTTCTTTCATTAGCCTATCACCTTTAGCCCCATTACAACCGTAATAAAGTCCTATTTATCCAAGGTATTACTTAAATATTGATAAGCGAGTTAGGTGGACAAGCAAGCATATGGCGGCATGTACAATGAGATCACTTGAGTGAAACACATTAACCAAAACTTATGAGTGAATGAGCGTATGTCTTGTGAGAAGCTCACATGTTTGCATATGATGATTTAAAGGAGTTTGGAATTGCATTGACATGGTTAGCTCACACATGGCATTTCAACGTTTTGTTTGAAGGAAATTTGGTTAATTATTGGATGATGTTTTGAACTCTTGATTAGTTCTTGGTTGTTTGTTTCATGATTAGCACTTATCTCTGAAATCGAAATTTAGAAGTTGGCTACTAAGTTGTTGAGTCTAGTTTTAGTTGAGTGTTTTTGTTTTGTGTTTTGTTTTACTAGAGGACTAGCAAAAATGCAAGTTTGGGGGTATTTGATCACTCATATATTTCATGCATTTATACCATCTATTTATAAAGTCTTTGTGTTAAAATTGTGGCATTTTTATTTTACCTTGTGTTAATGTGTAGTTAAATTTGTTTTAAGATCAATTTCAAGCAAAATGGAGAAAAGGAAATTGTAAAAACAAATAAAAGACACGGCAAGTGGAGAGTGGACTTGTCTTCCATTAAGCTTTTGTGGTGGAGAAAAAGAAAAGCATATAGCTGATTAGTGGAAATGGGGGACACAGACAAAGAAAAATGGAAGGAATAAGAAAAGGAAAGCAAGATAATAAAAGTGAGGGGAGACACTGACAGAATAGACAGAGAGGAGTGCGGGACTGGCAGAAGAAAAACAAAAGAAAAGAATAGGCAGAGAGAAAGGAAGGCAGAGCACGGACGAAGAAAAAAATATAAGAGAAAGGACGCGCAGCAGAGGGCAGACGGAACCAGAGGAAAAGAAAAGAAAAGAAAAAGTAAAAAGGGGGGAGACTGACGGGAGGAAAAGAAAGAGGCGCAGCAGAGCACAGAAGCAGAGGTGTAGCAGAAGCAAAGAAGAAGAGGCGCAGCAGAGCAGAGGAAGTCAGGAGCAACAGAGAGCTCGTCTTGTTAAAACGGATGTTTTCTTTTTTTGTTATTTTGTTTTATGGATAATTTTTTATGTATCAAATAATTATGTGTAACTAATTTATTTTGTTAGAGTGAGGCCATGAGCCGCAACATGAATACGTAGATTTATTTTTCAATTGCTTAAGTGTTGTTACATGCTTGCTTTGATATTTTCAATCACTGAATTAAACTATCTATGTACCTTGATGCTTGATCACCATTAGGATGCTTAAAAAGTTATCGGATGCAATTTTGAACGAATGTCATGTTAAAATTGGTTGTGCTTCTTGTGATTGAGGATTGTACTCTCCTAAGGTAAATATCATGCTCTTAGGGATTACATGGTTTAACAAAAGGATTTTCACCAAGATTAATGAATCACTCATGTTTATATTTAATCCAAATGTCATGGATAAGTTGCATGTAGTGGTATGCGTTTTAACTTGAATGTCACAAGTAAAACATACACAAGGAAATTCCAACCTTCAAAGCATGTGTGTTTTCAATTATTTAAGCAATTGGAATAGCTACGTAGGAGTGTTGTTGGTAAAGGTTGAACTCTAGCATATTGTCAATCTATTTTTCTTCAATCAGTTATTTTATCTTAAATTTCCTCATTTACTTGTTTTGTTTAAGTTGAATCACTGTTCCTATAAACCAATTCCCATGTTAGATATTTGGTTAAGTCACATCCAGTAATATTTAGTTTCGTCAAATTAGTGTAATTCTTAAAGTTAAATAAGTTAAATACACAAAAACTCGTAAATTGTTTATATCAGTCCCTGAGGAGATCGACATTGCTTGAGCCATTCTATACTACAAACACTTGTTCTCTTGCAAGAATTTTCTATGGTTTAACCCTTTGTTTTACAAGTGGTAAAATCGCTATCAAGAAATTGAAGAGATCCTTACTTGTACACCAAGTAAACACGATTGTATGTATAGGCTTTTGTGCTATAAACGTAATTATCAAGTTTATAATTTCTATAGATTTACCATGTTGTAGGTTACCGGAATACGGAGGGCTTTAACATAATTATAGAAAAAATTATCACAGGAAGATGATTGAAATACCTAATATCATAAGAAAATGCCCTCGCAAATTTCTTACGAAATAACAATGTTAAACAATTAGAACAATAATTAAAGCAAACCCATCTTTAAAGGGCGCTCGTAAGGCCCGTGATTATAAAATACTTCTCATTTACGCATTAGCACTTGCGAGAAGGCTAAAATACGGATAAAATCCAAATCGAATCGGATCTTGTCAATTTTCGGGTCGACGATGTGTGACATGTGTCCCATTACGCAAGCACCAGGCACCGGCAATAGAAGCTTCAGGCTTCCAGCCCAGTGGAAGAAGAAACCGTTGCTTTTCCGCTGTTAATTCAAAAGTGCCTCGCAGAGTCTTCCAAAACATGGACATGGACATCGACGAAACAGTCAAAGGTATGCCCTTTCTCCAAAACGCCGCGTTTTACCATTCTCGGTCGTCGCCGCCTTCGGTGATCATAAAACCTGTATGCGTTTTTGACGGGGGAAGAAAAACAAGGAAAGCCTGTCGTAGTAATATTGGTAGGTGGGCCTGGAAGCGGCATGTCTACCTTCTGATAGGAGCATATTTATGCGACTTAGTTGGCTTGTTATTGTGCATTTATGTCGTGTTTCCTTAGTTATTTTAATGTTTAAAGTCATTTTCGTGTGTTTTCAGATTTTATGGACAAAGTAGGCAAGAAGATGCATTTTGGAGCAAAATGGGGCTTGGAATGGATGTCAAATGCATGGGCCAAGTGGATGGACGAATTTGAGAACTAAAGAGGCCAAGAATATGAAGAATTATGGTCCAAAAGATGAAGAAAACAGCCCAAAAATCTGTCACCCCAACTTGCATTCCTTGCCATGCAAACCACATAGAATTCCCTTTGGATTCCATGCCATGCTTAATCACTCTTGTCCCCTACATAATTTCTAATTTCATGCTTCAATTTATTTAATTATTACACTCAATTGCTTGATACCTCTTGTTCCCTTCACTCATTAGATTTTAGACAACATTTACATCCATTACATGCACCAATTGATGCTCCATCATTCACATTTGGAATCCAATGCCATGTGTAACACATGTTGTTGCACCTTTGACCCATTTGTTGACACATTTCACCTCCCTTTCCATCTCTATGCAATGTACACAATCATTCATGCTCCCTAGCTACAACACCACTCCATTTTACCCTTCACACTTTGCATCATTACTTCATTTTCACCCTTGGACCATTGCACACCACACACACAAATTGCCATGCATTTCATCCTTAACCTAACCTGATTTTCTAAGGTTTTTGGGGGCCTATAAATACATGTTTACACCCCTTGGCCAAAGAACAATCCCCCATATTCATCATTTTATCACAAAAATTCGTCCATACACACCCTAGGAAGCAAAACACCCCAAAAAACACCATTCTAGTGCCTAGAAAACATAACAGCCACTCCACCTTCTTCCACCCTCTTTGCCTAGTTCTCCACCACCCTCCAACCCTCAAACACTCCTCCACACTCACCCTAAACCCTTCCATACCATTCCCCATCCATTCTACATCATAAAACTACCCAAAATCTGTCCATAACCCAATCTGCCGCAAGCATAGGGAAAGGAGGAATCTTGGATGCACTTGCTACCAAGTTGGAGCATTTTAGGTGTTTTCTTTCCTTTGATTTTAATGTCTAATTTTATGTATCTTTGTTTTGTGAGTATGAGGAACTAAACCCCTCTTAGTTAGGGGTGATTCGAAACTATGTTCATACTTGCAATATGATTTGATTACATCCAGTTGTGATTCATAAGTTGTGAATTCAATTTACTTATCCGTTCGTATAAAAACTGATTTGTGTATGTTGGTTGAGAGTGCACGCTTAATTTTCATGCATGAATTTGACGCTAGAATATAAGGGAGTTTCACCTAATCGTTATGAACTTATATTCACAAGTAGTGAAGGTTGCTAGTCACAATCACGTTAAGTAAATTCTTGGCATAAGTTTCATGCAAATCATAGTAACGAGTGCCTCGTCAATGCTTATGTTTTTCATAGAACTTAATGATTCTTGCTTGTATCTCTATTATGCAATTCATGTAGGGAACTTGTAGGGAATGTTTTGGGTTGTCGTATGCGATCATCCAACCTAATAACTTGTGGAAAAACTGAGGGTTAATTAGTGCAATTCACGGTTAATTTGGGGCGTTGAGTATTCATAGCTTATCGAAAAGCAACTGGAAATCGTTTTGTATGCAAGTGTGACATGTGTGGAGAAGAACCTCCTAGCTAGCCTTCCATCCATAAGTTTCATTCAAATTCATTTTACAATTTGTTTTGATTCACTTAAATTTGTCTAAGAATTCGTTTACTTTGTTCTTGTCTTAATTTAATTATTTTTGTCCAAAATCAACCCCATCTTATTTCTTTGAGTCATATTAAAATAGAACTTGTCTTAGATTATGTTTTTAAGTGTTTAGTTCATTAGAAAACCAAAATTCGTCCAAGTTTGTGTTAGAGTCCCAAAACTGCCCAGATTGTGTGTTTAAGGTAGTTTTGAGTGTTTAGGGGCTGTTTTGAGTCTTTTGGTTTGTTTTAGTGTTTTAAAGTATAGTTTTGCATTCTTTGAGTCTAGTTAGTGTTTTAAACTTTGTTTTTACGTTTTCAAGTCAGTTTCCAAGTGATTTAGCAATCCCTCCTAATCCCCGGCCTAGAACGATCCCTACTTACATACTTTACTACAATTGATAAAAAGAGGGTTTAATTTTGTGTGTTTAGTTATTTTACGCATCACCTTCTGCGAACATGTCTACCTTCTGCGAACATGTCATGCGCTCCACTCGCCCTTGTGTTTGCGTTTGCCAGGTATATCTCTGTGGACACAGTGTGTTCGATGAAATGTCGCAGTGGGCTCTAGATTGCTATTTTCAGTACGTAGTATGGTACTCCGGATTTCTATTCATTTGGGTTCTTGTTTTATGCTGTTATATGTTCATATTTTTTGTTTTTGTAGGATACTATCAAAAATGGTAAAGCCCGAACGAAAGGGCAGTGTATAGAGAGTGCAATGAATGCGTTGAAGGATGAGAAGAGTGTGTTTATAGATAGGTGTAATGTAGAGGAAGAACAAAGGGATGATTTTGTGAAGCTTGGTGGTAGTTCCCAAGTTTGTTCATGTTGTGGTGCTTGATCTTCCTGCCAAGCTTTGTATATTGCGGTATGTGAAGCGAACGGGCCATGAAGGAAATGTGCAAGGCGGGAAAGCTGCGGCGATTGTGAATAGAATGCTGCAGAAGAAAGAATTGCCTTAGCTGAGTGAAGGGTTTGCTAGAATTACTTATTGCCAGAGTGAGAGTGATGTTCAATCTTCTGTTGATGCATTCGTGGACTTGGTCCGTTAGATACACTTCCCAATGGTTATTTCGGTCAGAAGAACCCCGGTGCAAAAATTCAACTAGGTATAATGTTCTTAAGGAAAACCGATGGTCCTGCTAATACTGAATCAACTTCGAAGAGTGTACAGGATTCTAATGCTTCTCAAATTACTGAAGAAAAGGAAACCTCTTTGAAAGGAACAGGTTCACTTTCTGAAAAATCTGGTAAGGAGTCAAAGGAAGGTGAAGAGCTAGCTGTAGGCTCTGTTAGCGGTGATGGTTCTCTAAACGATGTTTCCACTCTAGCATTTCCTTTCATTTCAACAGCAGATTTTCAATTTGACCTTGCAAAGGCATCTGATATTATTGTTGATAAAGCTATAGAATTTAGGAATAAGCTTGGAAATTCTAGACTTGTTTTAGTGGACTTGAGTCATTAATCGAAGATTTTGTCTTTGGTAAGGGCTAAAGTTTCAGAGAAAAGCATTGATTCCAACAAGTTCTTCACATTTGTGGGAGATACCACTCGGCTTCATTCATTCAGAAGGAGGTTTACACTGCAATATAATAGCTAATCCTACCAATTTGTAAGCATTTAGAAATACTATGCAATATACATGTAAATATTTTGTTGCGGTGCTAGTTCACAATATGAAATTACAAATCTGTAGGATATAAGCATTTGCGTCTGATCTTTTTGAAAGAATTATGTTTACTCAGGATTCCAATGAAAAGAAAATTAAACTTGATATACTGTTGTTATTTCAGGTTTAACAATGGAGGCTTTGTTGCGTGCATTTTGCTTATTCCCTGCACGTCAGAGATTCCAAACCAGAAATTTTACTCAGGTTTATGATTTGATTGACTCTAATTCACTTTGAAGTTGTATAGGCATATCTGCAATCTACACGTTACTCCTATTTTAGTTTTTGACTGACTAAGGCGATATATAGTCGATCATATACACATACGGTTATAGGTGGAAGAAAAACAGAATGGTTTGTGTATGCTCATGTTGATTTTCTGGGTAGCAAGAGAAATATATTCTCCGAAAAACTCATGTATTATATGTAACTATGGTATCGTGGGTTTGTGACTGTCGTAGTCTGCTCTACGGAGGATTTATCGGGGTAACTGAACACACCCAATTCAAATCCTATTGAGTGTTTATCCTCTCTTTTAGTAGTTAAGTGTTAATATGGAAGACCTAATCATCGTGATCAATACTTCGCATTTGTCAACTTAAAGTCTTAAACGATAGAAGTTTTTGTCCCATAATTGAAGTTGAGGTTCATCCTAAAACCAGTTGAAATTGGGCGAGTGACTCAACTCTTGTAAAAGCAAATGAGTATTTCATTGTACTCTGACATGAAAGGGAGAATACTGATTGAACCGTAGTTTGCTGATTTTGTAAAAGCGGTTGAGTTTTTCATTTCTTCTTGTTACCTGAGAGGGTTGGCTTTTGCCTTTTGGTGCGATCTCAGACATAAAAGTTGGTGAGGAAATTCTGAAACAAAAAGCGCTGGTTTGCTCTCTTATAAATTGAGGTGAAAAATAAATCATTAGGTGTTGTAGTACTAGATATGATGAGTTTAAAATTGAATGGCAAGATGTTAAAACATATCGCAATTCAGAAGTCAAGATGTTCTTTGTAGTACACTCTTTTGGGTGGAGTTGGTCTCGACATCGTACTACACAATTCGAACAAATAATACATTACATGTAGTACATTCTTTTGGGTATATCAAATTACGCTAACTTCAAGAACCTCGACGGTACGAGGAAGTTTATTGAAAACAAAGGATAAAGATACACAATAAACTATTACACATATAACTATAACATACACAAATTTAAAAGGTAAAACCAAAAAGAAAACCTCTTATTTGTTGGATCTCAAATTCCCCAGGCATAGCTTGAGGTCCAGCTGCATTGGTCCCCATGACCATTAACTTCAGCGTCTGAACCTCTGATTTATGTGGACATGTCTTCAGTGAGGACCAATTCTCTCTTCAAGCTGAGGGAATATCTTAACAAGGATTTTATACATTGTTTTGTAATACCATTTACTCCATCTCTTGCACAACACAAGTGACCCGACCGCAACTCCAAAGCCAACAATAAATCCAACTTCAACACTGATAAGATCCCAATCAATTCTGTGCGCAGAATTAGAATGTTTGCCTTCTAATGTTGGTGGCAACCTTGGTGATCCGTCATCTAACGGTGGCCCATATAATCCTTTATTGCATGTGAAAGAATCTGGTGAAAAAGACTGAATCTGAGTGCCGGTTGGAATCTTCCCGACAAGTTGATTACTCGACAGATTTAGGAATGAGAGGAAATTAAGTTTGGAAAATTCTGATGGAATTGTTCCGCTCAATTTGTTGTCCGAAAGGTCTAAGGACTCAAGCTGTCGTAGATTACCTAGTGATGATGGGATTGCGCATGTGAGAGCATTACTGGACAAGTTTAGGCCATAAAGTGATTTGAGCTTTCCCACTTCCTCAGGTATTGATCCATTAAAATTGTTGCAGGACATGTCAATTAAGGTGAGGACTGTTAAGATCTTTATAAATTCCATCTCTAGACCTTTGGTGGTAACTGTTACAGTATCCTGATAGTACACCTGGCCGAGGTCTACAACTTGAAATTGCTTTGACACGGCACCATCTTTGTCAGCCATCATTGCTTGCCACGTTTTCAAAAAACTTCCTGGTATTTCGCCAGTAAAATTGTTGCGAGCTATGTCAACAATTTGAAGCTTTGGCCAGGCACTTTTAGTCTTAAGGCATTCAATGCTATCATAAAATTTGTTGAAACGCAAGACAAGTACACGCAAGCTGGATATGTTCTTCAATAAGCATGGAAAGACATCTGTTATCTGATTGTTTCCCAGGTTTAACACCTCTAACATTCTGCAGTTGGCTAGAGATTTTGGGAACTGACCACCAATCACATTGCCATTGAGGTCTAGAGTTTGTAGACTACAGTTCTCAGGAAAATTATCAGGAAGAGTGCCAGAAAGTTTGTTTCTCCTTAAATCAAGTACTGCAAGAGGCCCGTTTATTGCAGTCAAGCACTGGGGAATCATGCCACTTAAGGAATTATTGGACAGATCAAGAACTTCAAGAAATAATGTCGCCTTGCATACTGATTCTGGAATGATCCCGTGGATGTGATTACTTGCAAGAGAGAAGAACGCTGTCTGCATAAGGAAATCACCAATGTCTGCCGGTATGCTTGAGCTGAAATTATTTCTTGAGTAATCCAGATAACCGGCAGATGGTGGAAGCATTGGAATTTGTCCCTGAAGCTGGTTGGAATGAAGGTCAAGCATAAACAATTGAGAAGTAAGATTGAGGAAAGGACCTGGTAGATTTACCAGAGAGTTGCAAGAAAGATTTAGTATATAAAGACCACTAAGCCTCCAAATCCAGTTGGGTATTTCATGGATCTGGTTTAGGGATAGGTCCAAAAGGCCTAATATTGATTGATTTCTCAAGAAATCAGGAAAGGTTCTCAACTTTCTAGCAGCTAATTTCAATGCGCGAAGTTGAGGAAAGGAGTAGGAGGAATTGGAACTGTAATGATTAATTAGCAAGCTATTGTATGAAAGATAAAGTTCTTGGAGATTTTTCAGTTGTTGAATATCATTAAGCGGAAAGGACCCACTGAAGTTGTTTGAAGAAAGTGAGAGTGTTCTAAGCTCTCGTAGATTAAAGATCGACATGGGTATAGGCCCTTCCAAACTATTGCTACTCAAATCAAGGACTTGTAGGGAAGAAAAATTACCAAATTCAGGTCACTGGCCAGAGAAGTGATTGTTAGAAAGCTCTAAACCTTGCAGCATGGGAAGAGAAAACAGAGATGACGGAATAGTCCCATCAAGTAGATTGGCAGAAAGATATATTAGGGTCAGATTCTTGGCCATACTGAAGGATGGAACTGAACCATTGAACTTGTTCCATGACAAGTCAAAATAAACCAATTGATGAAGGTCTGCTATTGAACTTGGGATTGATCCAGTGAAATTGCACCCCCGAAGATCTATCTTGGACAACATTTTGAGGTTGCCAATAGAGTTCGGTAGTAACCCTGAAAAGTTAGCCCAGCGTAGAACCAAGGACCGAAGAGATGCATTCTTTGGAAATTCGGGTAAGGAACCCTGAAGCTGTTCATTGCCTGACAAATCAATAGTCTGTAGTGTAGGTACCTGGAAGATCTTCTCTGGGAATCTACCATATAAGCCAGAACCGCTTACGTGCAAGGAAGACAAATCAAGAGTTACCAACCTCGTCAAGTGCGAAATCTAAATCGGAACCTGCCCCGCAAAGCCAGCACACGACAAGTTCAGGTTATGCAAACCGGTTAGCTGCTTGAACTCGGAAGGAATCTGAGTGTAGTTGAAGGAGTTGTTAGCCAAGTTCAGGTTCTCGATCGACTTCAGACCGAAAAGAGGACTGGAATTATCAAGTCCACCAGTAATCCACTCGTTGCTCAAGTCCAGATTCGAAACACAACCCTCTTTGCAGGACACTCCTTCCCAAGAGCAGTAATCCGATCCATTCTTCCAGTTCACAAGTTTTTGAGACGTTGCAGGGTCAAATGTGAGGGTGTTCTTCAATTGCAGCAGCAAAGATTGCTGATCGCCGGGACATTGGGTAGAGACCACAAACGTATGGAAGGTGAGTGAAACATAGCAAATGCGGAGTAAGAAAAGCCATGAAAGCAGAGGAGTTTTCATCGGAAGTTGTTGCTGATATGTGACCAAATGTGACCAAATGTAATAGGCAGGTCCCTAGTTATTCTTCTTTGTAATTATAGAATGTGTAATGGCGTGTGAGCCAAAGACCAATTTGGTCTTACTCAGTGTCGGCTGTGGGGGTCCCGAAGGAACAGGGATATATATTCAGTTTTATATATTCCAAACAAAACTGTATATGCATAACTTAACTAAGTACAAATTTGAAAACTACCCAAATGGTTTCTGTTTTAAAAATACTGTATCTTTTTATATATATTTTTTTTCTTGGTTAAAAACTTCATTTCTTTAACATATACCTTCCTTTAAATTCTTCTCTATCTATTATTCAGTAGAAAATATTGTGTTACAAAGTTGACTTTCAGATTAAGTTTTGTACTTATAAATATGCCATAGAAGAAAAAAAAAATCTTTTAAACACACAAAAAAAAAGTCTTGTGCGTGAAAGGACTACATTTTAATTTTCACATAGTGCCCCATTTTATTGAACTGTGATTTGTTATGATGTGGTTGTAATTTGAATTTCAGTTCCGCACAGCCAATTGCACAACATTTTCATGTATAACCATTTCATCTCCCATTTTCCCTTATCTCAAGTACAAAATGGTGAAAACTACAAACAAAAAATAAAATAATTTCCAAGCTCCAATAGGCTGTTTAATAATCATTTTGTTTTTATTTTTCGTTTATCATTTTTTTAATTTAAAACTTATTTAATAACTACTTTTAATTTTAAAAAATAAAAATAAGAAAATAATTATTATCAGACGGATTCTAAATAATAATTATCAAGCGGATTGACGTGTGTGATGGTTTCTACCAAATTTATGGTTTGATTGACTTGTTGACTTCAAAGTCTTTCCCCATATTCCTTGTGGGGCTTAAATTGTGGGTTGTTTTTCAATAGCGAAATATTATTGCTTAAGAGTAATTGTAGTACTACTTTAGGCAATGTGGCAAGTGGAAATTTGTCGCATGAAATATACTAATTAATATACTTGGATTTATATATGGCACTGTAGAATTGTTAGATTAGGATTTTTTTTTTTTGAAATGTTATAGGAATTTTTACACTTTTTTTTTTAAATTTATCATATGAACTAATATTTAAGCGATTTGTCATACCAACTCTATTAAATTTTCCATCTAAAATAAATCACGTACTTTGCAATGTTTTCATTAGCAAAGCCAACAAAGGTGCATTGAGATCCCTTGACCTCAATAAATTTGGAAATATACTCTTATGAGTTTTTATTTTTATTTTTGAACAAATGATATACTAAAGAGAAATTTTAAATTTAAAGTTATAATGAACTAATAATAACGTGGTTCAAATGAAATAGAATGTTGTTTTCCCTGCACAGCTAAAAGAAAAGCAGACTAGAATAAAAGGAAGGGGTGTGCTATCCACACACCTCATTTTACTTCTCACACACCCTTGATAATTTCTGTCCGTTAGATCTTCTTCAATTTATCCGATCCAACGGCTGAAATTTAAAAAAGTGTGTGAGAAGTAAAATGGGGTGTGTGCCTAAAAAGCAGAGACGAATGAAAGGCATTTTGATGCCTTTTGTGGTTATTAAATGCAAAGGGAGAAGTGAGGGCGACACTCGTTGAAATGTCTAAAATTACTCCTGAACATAAGTTATGGGTGCCTTGCACATGAGTTATTTTGAATGAAAAACTTAACGAAGTTAGAGTTAGATGAAAAATTAATGATTCAGAAAGTTGGTATAACAAATCGTTTAAAATTTTAGTTCATATATGATAAATTGAAGGTGTATAATTTCATATAACATTTCAAAAAAAAAATCTTGGTTTTATTGGTTGACGTTGATTTTGAAGTCTTGATTGTCTCAATTCATGACTTTTGATAAAGTTTAATTGATTTCTAGATATTTTTAATACAACATGGCGTTCTAGTCTGACTGCGTTGCTTTCCTATCCTCATTTTCCAGTGGCTATTGACTGACTAAGGCAATACATAGTCAGTCAATACAAACCGAAATGACTATCTAAGCTCAGCTGAAACCATGATGAAGTTGAACTGTGAACGTGTGTTTATGCGCTTTGTTTATCCGAATGTGTAACAATTGTCCTATATTTTATAAAGTTCTTCATAGTCCAAATTATAGTTCTCACGCGTCAATTGTCCTATATTTTATTAATCATTCTATTTTCATTTTTTATTTTTTTTCAAAAATTAAAAATTCGTTAACTTAAGCGAGCCATACTACAGAAAACGTGGTGATGGGTATGTATAGCGGGTATAATTTTGTGGTTTGCTTGACTTGTTGACTTCAAAGTCTTTCCCCGTATCCCTTATCGTGGTGATGGTAATGTATGTATGTATGAAGAATTTTAAATTGTAGGTTGTTTTATTCAATGCTGACAGACCACTGAGTGGAAAAGAGAGGGTAAAATTTCGCCCCTACAGAGGGGCTAAAACTTCACGAAACAATGTATACCCCACGTTCAGATACATGCGTTATACTCCTAGTTTCATATAAAAACTTGTTTGAAAGTATTTTTAAAACAATTAAAAGCGTTTTAAGAAAAAAAATGTTTTTAGAATCAATATTCTATAAAAACAAAAATGAATCTTGGAAAATCATTTGAAGTGATGCTTCTTCCACAAAACACTTCAAGTGTTTTTGAGACCCAAAAACATTTTTTTTCTAAAAACGCTTTCAATAATTTTAAAAGCACCTCTAAACGAGGTCTAAGTCTCTCTTCTACAAGGCTACAAGTGAAGTAATTAATGAAATCATGTTTAATTTTTTGGTTCGAAGCGGCATTCTACAAAAGCGATTAAAGTGATGTTACTAACTGGATAAATTGAACAAATACTTTAGATTAGCTTCCATATATATTTCAATTTTATATATTCCAAAAAAAAAAAAAACTATATATGCATAACTTAACTAAGTACAAATTTGAAAAATACCCAAATGGTTTTCTGTTTTAAAAATACTGTATCTTTTTATATATTTTTTCTTTGTTAAAAACTTCATTTGTTTAACATATACCTTCCCTTAAATTCTTCTATATCAATTATTTAGTAGAAGATATTGTGTTACAAAGTTGACTTTCAGACTAAGTTTTGTACTTTTATAAATATGCCATAGAAGAAAAAAAATCTTTTAAACACACAAAAAAAAGTCTTGTAATACCCTGAAATTTTTAAATATATGAATTTGATATAAAATTTAAATATATGAATTTGATATAAAATTTAAATATATGAATTGGATATTCATAATTATGGATATGTGAAAAGAATCGAGAATTTATATAAATTCAATTGAGTTTAGTTTTCAATTAAACTGGTTACGAGGTTTAAAGTTTGGAAATTAATTATTTAAAACCCGTAGACCCTTTGAGGTCACAATTTATATTTTGGATAGAGCTCGATCTCATGAACGCGTAGGCGTGAACAGTTCGTGAAATGAAGTTATAACGAGGAAGATATTAATGATAGAAGTGGAGGGTAAACTAGTCATTTTGACATCTAGTGGGAACATTCCAGATTTTCTGGAATCTGTGGTGTGCCACTTGTGTGGCTGAGATGAAAAGAAAATAAGAAAAAAATGAGATGGACGGTTGGGATGAAAAGGAAAGAAGAGAAATGAGGGAAATGAGAGAAAGGAGGGGGCAGGACCAATGGGAGGAGAAAGAAATGAGGGAAAGGAGAGAAAAAGGAAGAAGGGGAAAAGGGGTCGGGTCGAACGGACCCGTGAACCCCAGCTACCCATTCGGCTTTTCCGACGGTTTTTCCAGTGAATTCCACGAAAAAGTCAATTGAAAACCTCCCCATAACCTTCCCTCTTCCTCTTACACCTCAAAAATCAAGGGTTTTGGCCTTGAAAATGGGTGAATCCACACGGTAGGGTGCGGTGGTGTTGTGTTCGAATCACCCAAATCCGAAACGATTTCATTAAATTACCACCACCATTAGATTCGTCTTGAAGCCTGGAACAAAGCCCAAGTAATGGTTGAGGCGTCGGAGTAGCTTTGGAGTCGAATCAAAAATACCCAAATTCAAGGGTTTCCGGCGGGTTTGAATCAAATTGGAGCCTTTCCAGGCCAAATTGGACTTGACCACAGGTATAAAGTTTGCTCTACTCTTTGAGATCTTTATTTATGTATTTTTATGAGAATTTTTAGAAATAGTGGAATTTTCCGGCAATTCGAGGCGGCCGACCACCACTGGCGGCGGCGGGTGCGGCGGCTCACGCCCAGGGAGCCGACGTTGCCATTTTTCATGTAAGTTTCGATATTCTGAATCTTTATTGGTACCCATTTGAGATGAACTGGGTTGTAACGGTTGATATGAATATGGTGGATTAGAGATTATGTTCGGAAATTGGAAAATATTGAATTATGAACTACAAATGGCTTGATCCCTGTTCAGGGTACGTAGGCAGTCTAATAAGATGTTAGATGCAGCCATAAATCAAGTAAGGTTAAGAAATTTGAGAATTAGTGTTGAAATCTAGAAATTTGTCCATGTAAAGGACTTGGTGATAAAATAGAAATTTAATTGTACATTTGATAAGGAATTTTTAATTAAGAGCCATTGGTGGAATCAAGGCTTTTTAGAGAGAATTGTGGTGAATGATCGTGGATAAGACATATATATCAATTGTGGGCCTACCATAGAAATTGTTTTTCCCGAAAATAAATATTTTGAAGCCGGGGCGTTACAAGTCTTGTGCGTGAAAGGGCCACATTTTAATTTTCACACAGTGCCCCATTTTATTAAACTGTGGTTTGTTGTGATATGGTTGTAATTTAAATTTCAGCTTTGCATAGCCAATTGTACAACATCTACATGTATAACCATTTAATCTCCCATTTTTCCTTATCTCAAGTACAAAAAAGTGAAAACTACGAACAAAAAAATAAAATAATTTCCAAGCTCCAATAGGCTGTTTAATAACCATTTCGTTTTTTTTTTTTTGAAAATTAAAAACTTATTT